CACTGACACTGTACTAATGGCACTGGGCAAGAACGGGTTAACATGAGGGGACGATCAAAGGGTTAACTGTGTGCTGTGTCCGTGTGCTTCACTGTAAGCACACTGCTTTGGAAGGCTGTGCTGTGCAGATTTTTTCCTTTGACTCTCACACTAAACTGTAGCACATAGTTGTGAACCAGCCGCACAGGACATAATGGAATTTCGACTTGAAATTTATTTTCATGCAGCGAAATTCATACTTTTTCATGCTTAAAAATCGACAAATGTGAAAAGGATGTTATATTCGGTCAGTGTTTCTCCATCTTTTTTCAGTCAAGGCACCCTTTAAAATCCTTCACAATCTCAAGGCATCCCATTCTAAAATGTAAAGAACTAAACAAATCACCATCCCACACATGTAGGACACTCAACATTAGAGCTGATTTATTATTAAGCCGGTCATAGATGGAGTGATTTTCTGTGGTTGCAGGAAAGAAAATTGCTTGCGTCCCTCATCAACACAGTCAGTGATGATGGGGGAATCCCTCCCACGGAGCCATTGTATTCTCCCAGCAAGGGGACAGGGGGAGCCGCCTCCACTGTGAGAACTTGTGATTACTTTTTTTTATTTATTTCAGGTACTTATATAGCGCCATCAATTTACGCAGCACTTTACATATATATTATACATTCACATCAGTCCCTAACCCTCAAGGGGCGTACAATCTAAGGTCCCTAACTCACATTCATACATACACATACTAGGACAATTTAGACAGGATCCAATTAAACTACCAGCATGTCTTTCGAGTGTGGGAGGAAACAGGAGCACCCGTAGGAAACCCATGCAAACTCCATGCAGGAGGTGCCATGGTTGGGAATCGAACCCATGACCCATTTATTGCCAGGCAGACGTGCTAACCACAAAGCCAGGGCATTTTAGGCATTTTGCAAAGGCACCCCTAAAGAACCCAGAGGGCACCCTGATCGATAAAAGACTGTATTAGATTGTTTCCTACATGTCTCAATAGGTAATGTGAATGTATCAGGCTTCTTATGGTGAGTTCTGTCTTTTCCTCTGTATTCTAGTTTCGGAATCTGTCTGAGTATTGTCTCCCTCTGGCTCTGTGTCATGGAGACTCTTCGAGGGTACTGGCAGAGGCCAGCGTGGATAACTTCAGCGAGCTTGGCATAGCTTTCATGGAAGATCGCTTGCAGATGGACAATGGCTCACAGCCACAGAAGATTACTTGTAAGTTAGATTTTCTTCATTACTGTGGAATCTTTTCTGTTTCTTGACTATTTGGGGTATTGTGTGTGTGATTGTGTGTGTGTGTGTGTGTGTGTGTTGTAACATTTGGGGATGTCTAGCTCAGTGGTAGATGTGTTTTCAAGTGCGTTCACACTGCGCCAGTCAGAAACTATTTTCAGGGCCTGGTTGCCCGCTTTTATTAAAAGGAAAGGCAAAACAAAAGTCCAACATAAGGTTTCCCACGCTGGGGTGCTTCTCCAGTAAAATACACAAAGTCCAAATGAAACTACTAGCCCATTTGGCTACTCTTCAGCAGCACTGCTGCTTTAGTTATTGGTCCTTCTGACCACCAGCTTTCAGGTACACCGCTTAGAGCCACACACGACTCCTCTGGCCAAGTCCTCAGGCCATTAACTATCCCGGCCATAGACGGTCGAAAATCGGATGAGTTTTCGGCCAAAAAAAAAAAAAAAAATCGCCTGATTTTCGCACTGTTAGTGGGTTAATTTGGTCAGCCGTTTTTTTCGAGTTTTTTGCACAGTTTTTTTTTTTATCGGTCATGTGGAAAATTCGTGGCAGATTTTGACGATCGGCCGATGTTCCCGGCAATGATGGGCAAATCGGCTGATCGTTTTACCGATGAAAAAATCCGCGCATGAGCCCGTGACCTGCAAGGGACAGAAGTTATGGGGTAAACTGCATGATTTTGTCGGGCGATTTTCTTTTTACCATTGGTGGTAATGTCGGCCGACCGAACGACCGATTTTTTTTTTTTTTTTTGTTTTAAAAAACCGGCCGATTTTCGACCCATCTATTGCCTGCATTACAGACCTTCATACTTCGGCTGCCACCTACAGCCTCTCTGACTCCTGTAGGAGACCTCCTGTCTCTCTTGGGTGGAACCCTGAGGTTTTCCTAAAGCTCCGTTATAAGGCCTGTGCGCACCTGGGCACACACTCCACAAAACCCGGACACTGGGTTGGAGATTCTGTCCCACCAAAGACACTATGGCATCTCCAAAGTACGGAGCCCTTTCCAGGAATACCAAAACCTGGAGAAAGCTGCAAAAGCAGTTTTGTCCACTCAGTAGCTTTACTCCGTAGTCCTGCACTCAGCCAATGTGCACATCCTGTGTCCTTATAAGTGATAGAGTCTCACCCTGTCACTAAAATATATATATATATATATATATATAAAACAAGATTTGGCAATTCACATATCTCGTGTCCAGGTTTCACTCCACAAGGGTTCCAGCATACGATGCCGGACCATGTTTAGGCCTGTGGAACAAAAAAAACACTACAAAAAATGGCCACTGCCCCAGTCTATAACTGGCCTTTACAGCAAGGAGCACATGGATGGGCGACGCATGTCAAACAACAAAAAAGAAAAATTCCCAGCTCTATTTTGCCAGCCTGCAAACAAACCGAATTAACCTGTCTAACAGTATGCGTTTAAAAACGGGTTTAGTTAGCACACATTTGCAAATACATACGTAAGCTACAGAGCCTCGTCACAGAACCCTGATATTCTGTAGTTCCTAACTCTCCAATTTTTAAGAGTCCCCATAGTAGAGGCACATGTATTTAATGGATAGACCAAGGGCAGATGTACCTGAGGGAGTCCACCCCTCCTTAAAGGTATAGGAGCGCACTGGACACCCAGCATGTAGCACAATGGCAGCTAAGGTGTCCAGTGCGCCCCCTCGACCAACAATTCAACAGTACAAAAAATGGCCACTGCCCCAGTCTATAACTGGCCTTCACAGCAAGGAGCACATGGAAGGGTGACACATGTCAAACAACAAAAAAGAAAAATTCCCAGCTCTAACTTTAGCTTTCATGGAAGTTAGATTTTCTTCATTACTGAATGGCCTGCTGTGGAATCTCTTTTGTTTCTCGACTATTTGGGGTATGTATGTATGTGTGTGTGTGTATATATATGTGTGTGTGTGTGTGTGTGTGTGTGTGTGTGTGTATATATATATATATAGATATCTCTTGGCAATGCACATATCTTGGGTCTTTGAAACCATGGGATTTAGTTCCAATCACAGGATAGCCTGATGAACCAGGGATGGAAGATAGGGGGGGGGGGGGGGTAGTATGTTACAAGTAAGCAGGCATTTCGTAGCTAAGACTGCCATGCTTGGCTCCAATTTTGTCAGATTCATGGTAAATGCGACAAATTTAGAGCCGTGGGTGTCCCTGTCAGCACCACGCTGCTCAGCAAGTCAGTTATTGAATTGATTCTTGTTGAAGGAGCCAGGTGACAAAATTGCCAGCTGAACCGTGTTAGTCTGGCACTGTTCGGATAGTCTGAGAGCCAAGAGTGCTAGCTGTCAGAATACAAGAGTTGGCTGTGGAAATTCGCACATCCCAGCTGAATGAAAGAAATCTAAAGCAGCCCATAGATTGTGCAATTTTCTTTCCTTCCATCACAGGTGGAAGGAAAGAAAATTGCTTGATTCCCCCATTACCACAGTCATTGTTGATGGGAGAATCCCTCTTGCAGCGCTAATGTGTTTCTGCAGATGGGGTGGAGAAGAATGAAATGATCACTGCTGTTGGCTGTAGCCGCTGGCAGTGACTGCATGCACGAAATCTGACAGGCTGGTTGCACTGAAGTCGATCGATGGATGTACAACCAGACTGCCCACTGATGGATCAAATCTTGGCTGGTCCCTGTTGAACTGGCCGAAATGTGATCCATCTATGGCCTGCTTAAGTGTGTATGGCCAGCGTTCGGTTGCATTCACCCAACTAATATCACTCTCAATTAATTTAGATCTAATGCTGCTGAGACATGGGACACTGAGCCGCAGGGAAAACAAAAGGCAGTATTTCAAAACAGCCAATCAGAGCTCACCAGTGACAGATCTGCATATAATAGGCTGAAATCTGATTGGCTACTACAAGTTACTGCTGTCTGTACGCTGTGCACCTTTCCTCCTCTTGCCTGCAGATTGTATGTTCATGCAAAATTGCTGCCTTTGTGCAAGCGCATTTCCCTAGTAAAGCAAAGCCTTTGCGATTTGATTTTTTTTTTTTTTTTTTTTTTTTTTTTTTTTTTTTTTTTTTTATAAAACTCAAAGAAGTTGTTCATGGCTGGACCATGAAATCAGATGATTGTGCTTTGTGTAAGTGCCAGAGTCACACACACATGCTGCCTTGTTTATTATTCTAATACTCAAGATTCCAGTTCTTCAGAAATATTTCTCTCAGATGATTAAGCAGTAAGCATTTTGGGTTGGTTTTCTATTATATTCAGTAGGAAACAACTGCTAGAGGCCCCCGGAAGGTTTTTAGGGGTGAGTTTACTCTGATCACAGCGATTATCTCTGTTTCTGTATCCGTTTGTTTTTTTGTTTTTTTTTAATTCTCAAACTGTCTTTCGTTAAAGCTGAAGTATAGGTATGGCAATTTTTTACATATTGGTATGTTGGTCCAGCTTGGAGCAATGTAAGTCTGTATGTGCCATACGTGTGGGATCAATGTGGAAAGTGGAAGTCACGTTAGTAGGCACCACTACTGCAGTTCACTAGCTTCCGGGTCCTGTAATAATTGTTTGTTCTTTTGCATTGGGAATGAAGGAGGTTCCTCGCTTGACAGGGGACACTTTGCATTTTCTAAAAAAATATTAAGCATCTTTTATGAGGTGCGGTGGTGATGTCACAATTTCTACCTAGTCCAATGAGAGAATCCTTTTCATTAATTGGGAAAAATGCGAATAGCGCCTGTACCAAGAAGTCAACATCCTCTGTTCATTAACCTCCCGGGCGGTATTCCCGAGTGTAGCTCGGGGTAAAGTCTCAGTACCACAAGCGGTAACCCCGAGCTACACTCAGGCTTACCATGCACCGCTGCTCCGGGATCTCTTGATCACTCACCTTGTCCTGCGCTCCCACGATGTCCCTCCTGCAGTGTCCCCGGCAATGTCCTCCGTCCGATGCCGGCATCTGTCTTCTGGGTTCCGTACCCTGGGACGTACGGGGGACGGAACTGGCGGGAAATTTGAAAATGACAAAAAGTGACATTCACTAAATACACTAAAATCACATAGTATAACATTACTGTATCAAACCATTTCACATGCATTTTGTCCCGAGTGCTTTGTCCTGTGCCCTGCCTACATTTTTACTGTTCTTTCTGCCTGGAAACTGAGAAACGTCCACGGCGTCCCAAAAGCGTCCCTTTTCGGTCAAAAGCAGTTTTAGATTGTCCAGAGAACAGCGATAGTAAATTAGAACCACTTGCAGAATTGAGTGATAATGATTCGTGGGGGAAATTCGTCATCAGACACTGAAAACGATTTTGCGACTTTGCTCAGTGATGTGTGAACTTGGCACTATATTTCAAATTTCAGTGTTTTTGGTTTGATTAGATTATTGAATTAAATGTATTATTATTATATTATTATTTTTTATGATTATTTGTTATATTATAATTTATGATTTCGTTTTTCAAATTTTACCATACCCGGGATGTTTACTAGACTCTTGTTCGGACAGATTTCAGTGAGTTATTCCTAAAAAATTACAGCCTACAATAAAAAAAATACATATTTCCATGCAAAAAAATGTACCGCTTTGAGCACAGAAGTATGGACATAATCAGACCGCTAAGGAGGTTAAGCAACAGGACAGCCACTTGGCGCAGGACCTGGAAGCTAGTGGAGAACACTGTAGCAGTGATGCCTACTGCAGTTATGTACGTCTTCCTTGGGGATCCCACAGGTATGGCACATACTGTACATATTTACAGTGGTCTAAGCTGGACCAATGTAACTATGTAAAATGTGCCATACCTAAATTTCGGCTTTAAAGATTCACAAGCTACCCTCATATGGTAATGGATTTCACCACTTGGGGCTTGTAGGTCCTGTTGGCCAAGTTCAGGGTAGTTTCAGTGCAATCTAATAATGCTGAGTATGTAAACCCTCATGCTTCACTGCATACAGATTTCTTAAACAAATCCTTTTTGGTCTACTTGTTGCACCGTTGTCACCTGGAGATCCTTCCAGCAACAGCACTTCCTATTGCAAGCTGACAAAGTTAAGCTTCTGCCTTGCAGTTAGCAGCGGGATTGTCAACCTGCTGTCTGCACTGCTTTAGTAGGCCAATGGGCTGCCTATGAGATCTGTACTTGCCTTCTGCAGACCTGATGGACAGCTTAACAGCCACTTGATGCTCATACAGCAAGCTGACAATGCTGCTGCTAATTGCAATGCAGTGGCTTACCATTTTTCAGCCCTTTAAGGAAAGCCTTCCAATGGGGATTTTGTTTCACTGTCAACATAGGTTGTTTTTTTTTCACTGATAGTTTTAGCCCTCCATACAATATTCAACACATTTTGGCTTAAGATATTCTTTGACTGTATTTCCATATTTTGTGTTGATTGCATTGTCTTTAAAATATATGTTATTGTTGCCCCTTAGCTGTGCACTTAAGCGAGACAGCTACGACTAAAGGAAAAGACCCACACGACCCTCATTTATATTTGGCTCAAAGGAAAGCTGCCCTTCAGCTGAATCTTATTTCTGATAGGACTTTTGGGAAGGACATGGGTATGACGGAAAGCACCGAAATGCAGAACCCTGGCAACAGCAACGAAAACCCCAATTTAAATAGGAGAACAGGCCTGGGACAAGGGGAGGAAGCTAGTGGTGAACATCTTCATCTTCACCTGTCCAGCTGCCATGAGTGCCTTGAACTGGAGAACTGCACCATAGAGTCGGTCAAGTTTGCTTCAGCAGAAAACATTCCGGACCTTCCTGATGAATACGCTAGCTTGGAGGACCATTCTGATTCTGTTCACCCCAAAGAAACCTCAGATCTTAATGTCAGTGGGAAGCCACCTAATGTTCTTGTCTATAGTAGCTCCTCATTTGTGGACCGTTTTGAACAAGTCAAATCCGTGCTTCTCCAATGCTTTGATTCCTGTCGGTACGTTGTGTACCCTCTCCCTGAGGAGCAGGCTCTCATAGCCCCATGGGCAGACAACTGCTTGCTGTTAGTTCTAGTGGGTGAGGAACCCATACCATCTAGTCTTCACAGACTCTTTACTTCTTACCTGGAGAAAGGTGGGAAGATCCTGGGGTTAGCCTCCTCTTTTACGTTTGGCAATGTAGCTCTGAAAAGAAAATCTGAATCTGAACTTCTGGGCTCAATTCAAGACCTCCTTTTTGATGGACCCAATGGCAACCAGATTAGTCTCAATGTCATGGCCAGTGGATTTGTGTATGAGGAGGGCTTGGTAGAGTCATGTGATAAAGTGGATGAATGGGGGCGGTTAAACAATGACAGCCAGGACCTGATGATGGTGCGTCAAGCATATGGCGACAACAGTGGAGAAGCTGTCCTCTGCCAGGTATGATTTCCCTTCAGCTCTACCAGTTTGTGTTTAGGATATTAAATGTTCAAATAAAATGAAAAGTAAAAATGTTGGGTCTGATACTGCTTTAATGAAATAAACCAGCAAAACCTAAGCGCAATCATTACAGTTAGTAATCATGACAACCTTCAGTGATGTGGTGAAACTATATACAAAATATGTGCAATTGATTATTCTACCTCAAAAAGAGTATACATGTTTAGTTATACACCCCCAATACTGCTGCCAACACTCTTGTATTCCCACGTGTGCCAACCAAAATGATATACATAACAGTGCCATGCAGTATTATGTAAAATCAATAAAATTATACAAACCCCATGTTACTTGTGAGATACTTGTCCATAATAGAGACAACATGGGCTTATTTACTAAAGCTGGGGAGTGCAAAATTAGGCTCCCTTCTGCATAGAAACAAATCTGCTTCCAGTGAAAAGTATACCTTTTATGGCGCCACTCCAAGATGTGGATGGAAGGAAAAGGGCCACCCCACCGGCAAGTGAGAAGAGGGGAGCATGAGTCCGAGCGATTCCAGTGTCAGCCCATACAAGCCAAGGGATGGATGCTGCTCAACCGACCCCAGGAGTCCAATATAGAGGCATGGCGTGAGCCGCCGTACTGGCCGCGTCCCCTGACACATTTCGCCCTGCCCACCGGGGCTTGGTCAGAGAGGTAGTAAGGATGTGAGAAGCCACAAAATATATACACATACAGTACACAGCACACATAGTTGTTTTTCTATTCTTACCTATTTCTTACCTTTTCAGAATAAAACTTAATTTTTATTCCTGGATTTTTTGTTCCTTCTTTCCCATTCATACTATATCTATATTTATTTTTCTCTTTCTCTCTCTCTCCTTTTTTTTTTCTCTTCTCTTGCATTACTATTCAGTTTCTTTTGTCTTCTTCCTGTTTTCCATTCACTCTATCATCACACATACACACCTGAGTCTTTTTTCGCAGCCATGCATGCATAGATATTTCCTGGCTTCTCAAGTCCTCACTACCTCTGTGACCAAACCCTAGTGGGCGGGGTGAAACGTGTCAGTGGGGCGTGGCCAGTACGGCAGCTGAGGCCATTCCTTTACATTGGACTCCTGGGGTCAGTGGAGCAGTGTCCATCCCTTCACTTAAATCAGTTTCCAGGTTTTAATGCCAAAGTTTAATTGAACAAGCTGAGGTTAGAAGCGGATTGGTTTCTATGCAGAAGTGAACTTGATTTTGCGCACTCCAGCTTTAGTAAATAAACCCCCATGCATCTTTAATAATGCCAATGAAGGTTCTTTGGTTATAAACTGGACGTCCGTCACTATTTTTTTTGCCCCTTGTACTGTTCACACTTCATTCCTCTGCCACCGTATTTTATGATTTTACTGAAACTTCTCTTCCACCATGTACTGTGCACATCCCATCACCAACATTCCTATATTCTCACCGTGTGATTCGACCCAATAAACATCGTCTCATGTGCTTTCCCCTTTAAGCAGGGTGTTGTATGCCAGGTGTGTTGCTCCCCTCTGCTCATGCCAGACATCCTTCAATCCACCTCCATCCTCAGCAATAAAATTATTTTATTTAGAACGCAAAAAAAAGAAAGGTATAGATAGAGCTCTCCATATAGCAAATACTATTTTTTATTTAAAATCAAACCAAAAGTATAAAACTCAACTTAAAATGTATACAAAGTCTGGTGCACAACAGTTTACATGTATGTCGATGGGAAAATGTCTCACGTACGATGGTGGCCTGCTGACTTGCTGTTTACAACGTGACTTTATCAGCTCCTCCCAACGTGTTTCGTCAGAGTCGCGTGACTTCCTCAGGGGATAATCCCTAACCCAAAGGGCACAAGGAAGCTGGCCAATCTCCAATTTAGATTTAGTAGCCTAAGGGTCAGTCCACAAAAAGCTATATTTTAGATTTAATGAAGCCTGTTGGGACTGAGACAACCTCCAAGGTTTTTTTTTTTTGTTTTTATGGTTTGGATACTCCAACTGCAGAACCTCTCTGCCACAATTCCCCAATTTTTCTCCTGCTTACCTGGGAGTTTGGAGTGCCTGTGCCCACGTGGAACATCTTGTTGTATTCTAAATACATTTTTCACCAGGAAGAATAGAAACTCCTCATGATGGCCACGTTAAGTGTACAGACCCAGGACAATTAAATAATTCAGTAATGCTATGGCCATAATTCACAGTTAACTCTTAAATTATTAACATGGAAAGTGTCACCTATGTGGATGGCTTTTAGAAATTGTTGTAAGTATCTTGAATTTAATTTGTTGGATGAGGAGAAGCCAGTGGAGGGATTGGCAGAGAGGGGTAGCAGACACTGAGCCTATGTAATGTTAAGCCAATGAGGAGGGAGTTGCAGTAGTCGAGGCGAGCGATGACCAGGGAGTGAGTTAGAAGCTTTGTGGTGTCACTGGTTAGGAAGGGGTGTATTTTGGAGATGTTACGGAGGGTAAGGCGGCAAGGTTTGGACAGGGATTGGATGTGGGGCCGAAAGGATAGTTCAGAGTCCAGGATTACACCAAGCACCCTGGCATGCAGGGACGGGTTGATGATTGAGCCGTTGATTTTGACAGAGAGTCCGGGAAAGGGGCACGTGGGGGAGGAAATATTATTAGCTCCGTCAATATTTCCTCTGAGCAAAGTGGCAGGGTTTGCATCCCTTTAGAAGTAATTTCTCTTTGAGAGTATCA